TTTGTTATTTTTTTAGAGTTGTCGAAAAACAATATTGATGATTATCTATAATGCCCCTCTGTCCGTTAGTTTCTTTGTTATTTTTTTAGAGTTGTCAAAAAATTTCTTTTGTGTTTCTTATTTTAGTAACAAAATTTTAATGAATGTGTCACCATATCTCTACTTTATATGTATAGAGACAAAATGGCAAAAAAATAACAAAATAGTGTGATCAAAGCAATAATTGATTATTAGACGATATGATGCGTAAGACTGTTCATGTTTAGATCTGAACTGCCAAATCGACCGAAGTTAACTGTTAGATCTGGATTAAACTCAAACTAATTGGTTTAAGCTTAATCTTCGATATATATTTTAAAAGATTTAGGCCATGTTCTTTTGGGTCTGAAAAATTAGCTTTCAATTCTTTCTAGTTATTTTTCCAGTTTTTCTAGTTTTTTAATGACTTAAAAAGTATTTATATATGATTAATACAAAATAACATTATATATCCAAATTTATAACATATCACCTCAAACACGGATAATGATGAACTTCTTTTTATCCAAAATTAGAATTTTCGTACATAATAATTTGGATGATCATTTAATTGAGTGATTTTTTTACTACTTAAATTCTTCTAATTTTTTCCAATTCTACTTCCATTTTTTCAACTCTTTCGCATTTCATCTAACGTTTTTGAATTTCTTTCAACATCTAACTCTGAAATTTCAAATATTTTGGTCTACTCGAGTCCATACTACTATGTACTAGGGGTGGACACGGTACGGTTCCGGTTCCGGAACCGCCGGTTCCGGTACCGCCACCCCATGTCACCGGAACCGTCACCGTGCCGGCCGGTACCGGTTCCGGTTCCCAGACTGGCGGTTCCGGTACTGGACCGGCCGGTTTCGGCCCCCTATATTTTTATTTTTATTTTGATTTTTTTAAAATTTTTAAAGTATAAAATTGTAAATTTGTAATTGTTTAAGGAAAGAATGAAATAAAAAATCTAAAAATGTAGTTGTTATTTAAATATTTTAAATGAATAATACACTAACAGAAGAACAACCACATTTAATATTCTGACGGTTCAAAAAAAGCGACGAGGTAAAGAACCGTAAAGAAACCCTCGAAGGAGCTTATATATCGCTCACCTAAAAAAACTAATTACATATTTACATTAACATAAAAAAAAATTATAACTTATTCTTCAGAACTCGGACTTCCATCTATTGTTGCATTCATGTAATGCTCCGATTCGAGTTGGTACGAAGCCTCTTGAGCTCGACGTCTTGCCAAGAGCCAATCTTGGTTGCAAACCAGTGTTTCAAGAGATTCAGCGCTAAGACAACTTCGATAGTCGGTTAGAATGTTGCCGCCAGCACTGAATTCTCGTTCAACTGCTATGGTTGATACTGGAACGGATAACACTTGTCTTGCTAGCATGCCGAGACATGGGAACATGTGTTCGTTCCGCTTCCACCATCCGAGCACGTCAAAATCCACTTCGTCCTCATCGTAATCGCATGGCACACCCTGGTACATAGCAAGTTCGTTGTGCGCGCTTACTATTGTCCCACTTGAACTCGTCGAAGAATGAGCACGCTTCCCTTTCTTTGCAAGAAGACCACCGACTATTCCGGCAAAACCTTTTTTTGATTTCGGGGGCGGAGGTGGTGCTGTTTCTTATTGTACAGTGCCGTATATCCCTTGATATTCCTCAAACAAATTCTCAATAAAAGTTACAGCATTATCTCTTTCTTTTTTCCATTCTACTAAATGACTGTAGTAATAACTATTTTCATCTAAAAAACAACTGTAGTAATACTCAATTAAAATTTTAAAATTTTCAATCTTAAAGCGTGGATCACAAATAGTACCTATTTTATAAATATCAGAAATGTAAAAATAATAAGCACACCATTTTTGTATCATAGGAGAGACATATGGGTACAAATCCGGATCAGCCTTACTTTCACGAAAACATGTTGCGATTGTAACGCACTCTTAGCTTTTAAAAATGTATTTGTAGTTGGTTGGTAAACATGAAAAAAAGTAAGAGTTGCGTTATTAAAAACTTCTAATACGGCATTCAATTTTCAACAATAACAAATTCAAAAGGATCAATGATTATACGAAGTTCATCCCTAAAAAATTCAGCAAGTTCCTTTTTATATTTTAGAATATGATGAATCAATTTGTATGTACTATTCCATCTAATGTGGATATCTTTGGCAAAAACTATTTCTTTTCTACCCTTAGACTTACAGAACATCTTCCAGGACCTCGAAACAAGACGAGCCCCCCAAATTCTTTTAATTCCTTCTTTAATATTCGTCAAAACTCCGCCCATAGCTTCTAGTCCCTGTTGAACACATAAATTTAAAACATGACAGGCACACCGTTGATGCAGAAATCTACCCATAGACGTAGACGGTGGGCAAATTTCTCTAAGTATAGGAATAGCTGCAGTACGTATTATTAGTAGCATTATCAAAAGGGAGAAAGACTAAAGTAGGACTAAAACATTGAAAATATGCCAAAATAGGACTTCTATGTTTTTATTTCCGAAATAGGACTTACATTACCAAACATGGTCATATACATTACCAAAGAAGATAGTAATGTGCACATATACACTGCCACATTACCACAATGCAAAGTCACATTACAACAGTGCAAAGTCCTATTTCGGGGAAAAAAACATGAAAGTCCTATTTTGGTACTTTTCACTATGTTTTAGTCCTATTTAGGGTGATTTCTATTATCAAAACCAAATGAAAACACTTTGTCAGATAAGTTGTATTCCCGCAGAATACTCTGAAGCAATAGGAAAATATTTTCAGCAGTATGCTGTTCATTGAAATCACGAAATGCAAGAACACGTTTATGCATAATCCAATCACTATCTATCCAATGGCAAGTAACACCCATATAAGACAAATTATGATAAGTTTACTCCAAATATCAGAACAAATAGCAACACGAGAATTAAAATTAAGAAAAAAATTTGCCACATTTATTTTTCCATTTTTATACTGACGAATAATTTCTCGTTTAATTGTTTTTCTTGAAAAACCTCGTGCTTGAGGGTTTAATGCCTGTTGACAATAATCAATAAAACCAAGTTTCTCAGAAAACATGTATGGAAAATTTTCTTCACAAATCATTTCGGCCATTTTTTGCTTATTTTGCTCGTCGCTATAAGCAAAAAGGCCATCCTTACCTCTGTTAGCAAATCGAGAAATTTGGGTTTGCACTTCTTTTCGTCCCTTCTTTTTTGCCTCGTATTTGGCGGACTCCACGGGATGCCTCGACCTTAGGTGTTTTTTCCGGACCCCCATAACCGCCGGAAACTCTCATTTTTATGACGGTCCCGCAATGTTTACAAGTACCATAAACTACGCCATCTTTTGTGTCTTTGTCAAAATGATAAACAAATAAATCTGATTTATATTTTTTTTACCTTTATCCGGACCTCGAGAGGTCTCGGGCTCACCTGCCTCCACGGCGACGTCGTTGCTCTGCGGTGTAGGCTCCTCGTCCCCGTCCAGATTATCCAGATGTGCTTCATCAAGATCTTCGAATACACTATCAAGAGTGGGGAGATTTGCGTCCCCTCTACCAAAATAAATCTGGTCAAATTCTTCATCCGTCATAGCGTCCCCGATTAAGTGATCGAGGATAGTAGGAAAGGAAGAGACGGAGTGTCTTACTCGAGAAACGCGTGAGGTCGAACCGTCGGAGGTGGCTTTAGCTTTGCCTCTCCTCAAACTTCGGTTCACGGCGCCCATATCCACGGACCTTCTACCGGACTTTCTCGACATTTTAATATATATATATATTTTGATATAAAAAAATATATTACTTTTGGAAAAATTAAAAAAATTTCGAAATTTTATATATTAAAATTTCGAAATTTTCAATAAGTAATAGAGACTATATTTAAAATATAAATTATATATTTTTTGATATTAAAGATATATTAAATTTCGAAAATTTCGAAAATTTCAAATAATTTCGCAATTTTATATATTAAAATATAATATATTTAAAAAAGATAGATAAGAATTAAGAAATTAAGAAATTAAGAATGATTGATAAGAATTAAGAAATTAATAATGATATGTTGAGATTTGAGAGAATGTGAGATGGATTGATTGTGAATGTGTGATATTTTTTGAAAAAAATGTGGTATTTATAATGTTATTAGTCCCCCCCCCCCCCCCCCCACCCCCCC